GAAACCGGCCTTGCACATTCCGGAGCTGTAGTGAGCAATCGAGTCAGCATTCCGCCAGAGAGATCAAAAGAAAAAAGCTGCCTCTATCCATCGGAATCCATCCGGGTAATATTGAGAAAAAAGTGCGACGTGGGGGGCGGGTTGATATTGATGTTGGCGCTGTGCTGCTTTTGTCGTGTTGCGTGGCGAACAGACAGCGAAACAACACAGGTGTTCAGAACGGGCAGAGAGAGAGGGCCACGGCGGGATCGTCAGGACGACGCAGAACTCACCCATTGTCAATGACGAGGGCAGCAACTTCCTCTACACGGGAGACAGGTTAGCGAGCAGCACAGGAGGACGGGAGGAGCACGGAGACAAAGGCTGAAGAAGGGAGAGCTGGACGGTGTCTTGCGGGTAGGGGGGGCCAGAGCTTTTGAGGGGGGGATTTGGTTTCGCAACATACCCTCCATGGTGACTGATAGTACAAGTTAAAAAGGAAAACGGGACAAGAGAAAGAGACGAGCGTAGAGTCGGCGACAGAAGTGAAGCGGCCTGCACGCGGAAGCAGGGAGATGGCGGGTTGATGGGCGTGGGAGATGGATGTTGTTGAGATTGACTGAGGGAGAAGAAGAGAGACGGTGGTGGAAGAAGGAGAGGAAGAAGAAGGACGCAGGCCGGTTTGGTGGAGAGAGCAGGGCGAAGCGGGCTTAGTGAGGTTTTAGTGTGGGAAGCCAGCAGACCTCCTGGTTGGCTCGTTCGAGGGGCGGCAGCCTCGTCCTTCGCCGTTTACCTCGTAGAAGTCAGGATGCTGATGAAGACGATGATGAAGCTGATGGTGCTGATGATGGTGGTAGAAGTCGGTCTGGTGCTGGCAGCGATGTTATTATAGACTTGCTGCTGCCTAGTCGTCGTCATGCGTGGCAGGAATATGGCTGCCTCCGTCTACTGCTGCTACGATGGCCAATGTACATGGCCTGCTGTATCGTCACTCCGGCCGCTGATGCCATGGCGCTGTGCCAGGTAGATGCATTAATTACCGTCCGCTGGCGCTCTGCTGGAGGGAAATGTCGCTGCCTGTGGAGGACGCTGCTCCCAGGCGCTTCATGTTATGGCCCTGGACTGGAGAATGATGCTGCCTAGCCTGTGCCTCTCCCTCTGCTCGCCCACCGCCAGCTAGCTCAGCTCACTAAACCACAAGCCTGCTCAATAGTTGCGTAGGGGGCTACGTAATAATTACTGCTCGACCCAGCATCACCCCAAGTCCCAACATATTCCAGCTTGATGTCTCTCTCCCTCTCTCTCTCTGCCTTCATTGCCTGCTTCATCTCTGGCCCCTTTACTTAGTTACTTTAAAACTACTGGTCACGTGAAGCTGGTCTGCAAAAGGGGCTCAACGATATCAACACGGCGAGAAGAAGATATCAGAAAAGAGAAGAAGCACGGAGTACGGAGTACAGTCTAAGGGGAAGACGATGCAGTAGCTTCTCACGTCGATACCCTTCAGCCGAAGAGCGGAGGAATGGACTCCTGAAGACTGCATCCAATGCTCGAAGGCGCCGGCAGCAGTTCCGCCCAACAGTTCGTTGCTGCCGGCGTACAATCACGCTGCCCATGCTACCGGCGTTCCGGAGTCGGGGGCAAGGAGTCTCGTTTTTGCGAGCAGCCTTGCCCAACAGTTCATTCGAGCACGGACATGTTCGCAGGGATGGGGGTGAACGGACGGGTTTATCTGATCTTCGATCTGCAAAAGTCTGCCTCACGTCCTTCTGATCCTCATCCATACACCTGTCCCGCTTAGTCGTTATCAAATGCCATGAAAGAACTGCTACCTCTTTTTCCCTATACCATCTCGGGTGCTCTAGTATTTCATCGTGCTTTTTTTATTTGAATTGACTTGACAGGCCATCACTCGGCTTCATTTTCAGGGGTGCGATTGCCTTCCACTTTTACATCTTTTCCGGCCTGATATGTTGATCTTTCTCTTCCGTATACCTGGTCCAGATCAGCTATAGAAATACAGCCATGATGCTGCAGCAACTTTATACCCAGCTGCCATCGTCCTTTTTCTAGGTCATCCTCCAGTCGAAGAACAGCCAGCACTTTTGATAAAAATAATTGCTTATGTAATCCTGGATCTAACTAAAGTGGACCGATCGAAGCTTATCGAATATCGCGGGTTCTTCATGAAGTTGCTTGTTCACTGCAAACAATTTTTTTTTTCGGGCAATTCAAATAACAAGTCAAGGGATTTTGTGACTGAGACTCACGAGTTGTACCCTCTGTCGGCCCATTCCTTATATCGATAACGAGCTACTTTCCTAATATTCAGTGCTAGGCCAACACTCACAGCCATGGACCCCTCGTTGAATAATCTCCTCAAATGGAGTATCGAGAACACTCCCGCGGCCAACGGCCAGCCAAACGGAACCGAACCATCAGCCCATAGACAACCCATTGATGCGGAAGCCCTCCAGCGCCTACTAGCAAACACCCCATCAGACGCAGAGCTCATGAAAACTGCAATGGAAGTCGTGCGGTCCTCCGAAACAACGTTGGAAAATAAGCTTATCGCCTTTGACAATTTTGAGCAGTTGGTTGAGAATCTGGATAATGCGAATAATATGGACCCCATAGGCCTTTGGCCTCCGCTGGTAGAGACGTTGAAGGACGAGGAGGCTGAGATACGGAAAATGGCCGCATGGTGTGTTGGAACAGCAGTTCAGAATAATGAAAAGTCTCAAGAGAAGGTGTGTTCTCGGCTCCTACGATTTTTTTTTTTTTTTTTTTTTTTTTTTTTTTTTTTTTTTTTTTTTTTTGTAACTGTTACTAACGTATCGTTTAGGCCCTGGAAGCAAAGGTTATTCCAGAGTTAGTTCGAATGGCCAGGGAGGACAGCGATACCACTGTCCGCCGCAAGGCCGTGTACGCTATATCCTCGTGTGTGCGGAACTACCAGCCTGCCCTGG